TTGTATCTCCTTCTTTAATATTATCCAGTTTGAAGTTAAATTCCAATTCCAATGCATCATACTTGGACGAAATTAGTGTAGGTGGATTAATTAAGTATGGATATTCTAAAATGAAACCATTACAATTTAAAATATATCACATTATTAGTAGCTATAATATTATTGTGTCTAACTTTAAATTGTTGGCTGAAATATTGAAATCTAAAAACTATAGTAGGTACCTAACTAAGTAACTATATTTTTGGGGTTGGTTGTTCAATTTTCGTAGATAGTTTTTTGATAACCATTTTTTATAAAATAAGTTTAAAGTGGGTTAGATATCCGTTTATTACTACTTCTAACAACGAAACGTTATTCTCCTCTATTATCTATGTTAAGAATAGAATTACAAATTTTGATTGTAATATTTATATTTTTTATGTTCCCGAGAGTTATATCTTACTTTGTAGACAATATGGTGGTAAATATCCTTCTGAACATCCTTGATAACAGATACCAGTATATTGGTCACATTTATTGTTATGGCAATTCGATGAACATGTTTGTTTACAATCCGCACCATATTTACCCGGTTTACAGTCTTTAAAAAAATGTATGTTAACATATTATTATACTTTGTTTATAGAAACAAATTGTAAAAAATAATATTCTTCAAACCGTTGTTACACAATGGACCAGTTAGACCTGGTGGACATGTACAGCCATACAGTTTCGTACACATCAACAATCCGCGACACATTTCATTGGCATACATTGAACATATTCCTTTACAATCAGCTCCATAATAATTAGATCCACATCCTGGAATATATTTTAATTTTTAATTTTYATATTTGTATTAATAATAAAAAYACACATTGAATCAATGGGTAACAACAGCCTATTTTATACGTGTATAAGAATATTATTATAATTTGTAATTTGTAACATATCAAAATATCGGCGTGTAGTTTAAAGCCTATTAAAGTTCCAGAGACCTGATATTATTTATAATGCCGAAGGTTAATTACCTATTTCACAAAGTTGTCCTTTGAATCCAGGAGGGCAAACACACGCTGGTCTTTTTGATAACATGAAACCACCATTTAAACAAGAATTATTAGTTGAAGGTGTTTGCATTTTGTTACACACAGTCGTATCATCTATATTTATAATTAAAATGAGATATGAATAATGAAATATATTTACAAAGTGAAACAAACAATACGTTCAAATAATACTTTTTAAGGACAATAAACTTAAATATTATAGTATAATAGCTGTATAGGTTAGATWACTARTTAAAATATTGTTAAACTAAATAATTATATTCATTAAATATTCAAAGGTTGAAAGAATGTAAAGTTAGAAACTCGTACAAATATAAAATTGAAATAATATATAAGAATTTAGATTTGAAAGTTAAATGAAGCTAAATTGTTGAATTCGGAAACGATTCTTAGCATAGCGTGGCTTACCAAAATTAGCTTAAGATCATGTGCTTAAAATATTTCCTAGGTACCATATAATCTCACATTTATTCACAATATTGTTTTAAAAAMTTATGGTATATATAAAAAAATAAATACATTTYGCTAAGTCCCTATCACTTAATTTCAAATATATTTTTTCCGAAACTTAATGAAAATTGTTACAACCTACCAAAAGTCTTTAACAAAAATTAAATCAAACATCGTTGTAATACTTACCTGGTACTTTAAAAATATAAAAATACATGCTTTAGAGACCCCAGAATCTAACTCGAAAATTTGAATTTTTTTGTATGCATACCGTTTCCGAGTATATTGAAGGGCTTTGGGCCTTCAAACCAATTACCAATGTCATTTATAGGAACAACTCTTAATTCTTCTTCATCTAGGAACCAATAMAAATATTATGGTATGCCATGAATTTTAATATTCACAAATTTATAATATGGTAATATATTTTTTAGATTTATATTTAAAAATATAAATTAGAGATTGTGTTAAATCAATGTTTAACATATTCTACACAAATATACTACATATTTACTACTATGTAGTTAATAAATACCTTCATCTGGACATTGATAAATCCGAATGAGTTCAAACCAATTTCCCAAATATGTGTTATAATCTTTATAGTGAAGAGCACTACTATATTTTCTTTTTAATACAATTTTATATTTCTGATTTTGAATAAGAGCCATGTTMGCAATTTTTAATGTCTTTATGCTATCCTATATAATATATATGTAAAAAAAAAAATTCAACTTAACAACGCGTAATATAATTTAATACGAAATGCTAGTAAGTGCC